ATCACAAAAGAGATCACCCATCCAGTACCATCCAAACCCTAAACAAAATAAATTCAGTAGACACCATGCATCTGGATCTCTAGTAAATCCTCAGTCCCCCACACCATTATCCTCTAGAATAACTTCAACCAAGTGTTGACCATGATGACAACAAATTAACAAAAGAGTCAAGAGACCACAAGGTGCAAAAGTCTTCTTTGTAGATTAAAATGCATTGCAAGTTCTCAGAAGGAAATCCATTAATTACCTCTACTTAGTTTACAAACTGAGAATACTTAAAACAATGCAAAAATCAATCATTATCATCACTATCCAATTTCTCAAAAAGCACCAAAATCCCCAATAAACTCCACAATCTAACACAAAAAAATATCATCACTATCTAGTTTCTCAAAAAGCAACAAAATTTCCAAGAAATTTCATAATCTAACACAACAAAAACATCACCAAAATAAAAAACCCAATTCGGAAAGAAATCGAAAAATCCAGGTAAAAAAAGAGCTAAAAATCAAAATAAATACCAGCCTTGACAAGAGCATCCCATAACTCCTCAGGCAAAATGCAGCCATTATGTTCAACATCAATAGCTTGAAAAATCCTATACAGCTCCATTTCTTTATCATCCATATACCTCCTAAACTCCTGATAATCAACCCTTCCATCACGATTTGCATCACAAACTTTCAACAAATCTTTCGCATACTTATACTCAGCAGGGATTTGGAGCCCCGATAACCCGGCTTCAATCTGGGCATAATCTAAATACCCCAAATTTGCTGCATCAAAAAAACTGAATAAACTTCTAATTCTAACATCTCTCTCTTCTTTCGTTTCTCTCAATGCCAGTAATACATGATCTAGTGATACTGGGCCTGGTTTTTTAACCGGGTTGCAACAACCGGTTTGATTCGGGTTGGGGTTTGTGTCTGTTTCCATTTTTGGCAAGTTAACGTGGTGGCGACGGTGGTGCTCTACCGCGTTACCTGCCCCGGCCATGGTTTTGCATGTGCTGGATATTGGATCACAAAAAAGGTTTCTGTTTTTCTTGGTTTTTATTTTTTTTCTAAGGTTTGAGTTTTTTTGATCTATGCTGGAATAATGTAATAAAATTAAATGAAACTGATTTTTTTTTTTGGTTAAATGAAGGGTCAAATTGTAAACAATCAGGGAGAGAGGGGGAGAGGAGAGAGGGGGATTCTGATTTTGTGCAATGAATAGGGGGAATTTTGCAAGAGAATTTGGCTGGGAGGGAAAAAAGAAATGGTTATAAATAAATATGAGAAGATCTCATATTAGCCCTCCAAGTAAATATAGTTCCTCAATTGAGTCCCTATTCCATATATTTTTACCAATTAGTGCTCTCCATCTACAATTGAATCCTGAAATTGGATTTGAGGCTGAGTTCAATCATGCATGGCTAACAAAATTAAAGATTAAAATGAATTAAACAAAAAAAACCTAGCATGGAACCTAAGAAAGTGAGAAGAGAGAGAAAATACATATTTTAGTGTTTCTCTTTGTTAACGAGTATAAAATGACATGTAGTTGGAGGACTGAACCGAATAGATGTATATATTTGAGGGACTGATAGAGGTTTCCAGAAATTATTTCTGTGAGGTTGAAATGGGCACGTGGAGATAGCGGGGCAGGGATAGTTACGGGAATGCGACAAGAGTATGGACATCAAGGATAGGAAGGTGATGAGTGGGGGATTGTTATTCGCACACTTCTATCAAAGTGACTAATTTAACCTCTATGCGATATCTATTTTACCCTTATATATTAAGAAAATTATAGTGGTGTGTTTGGTGGCGTTGATGGTATCGAATCTGACCTCCGAAAGCCCACCAAGCTACAGAAGGATTCTTGTCACTTGTTGTGAGGACACCAATGCAAGGTGTGGGAATATCAATTCGTCCACAAACGTGGGCGCTTTTTTATTTTTATTTTTATTTTTATTTTCTTTTTCTTTGTATGAGTCAACATCCTCCATGTGTTCGGGGAGAGAGAGAAAGAAGGGAGGTGGCGTTGGGTTATTTTACGCAATTTTAAGGAGATGTGCGTTGTGGAAAGTGGGTCAAAGAGTGGAGGAAGAATGTATTTTCTTCTAGGATCTTGTGGGGTGCTCGTCTCCCTTTTTTTTTTTTTTTTTTAGTTTTAATTATTTTGATATTCGATGGGTCTTGCGGTATAGCCCTTTCTGTACTTAAATTTTGCCTTGTTAATTATATTTATGAGTATAGTTGTTAAACCTTGTTTAACTTGATGGATTTACATGGTTGTATTTTCGAGATTTGAAAAAAATGCTTTTAGAAAAATTAATTTTAGTTTTTTTTTAATTTAATTAAAATATATATTTAGTTAAACTTAAGGTTAAAAATATTATTTAACAATTTTTTTAAAAAAAATTTGGTTAAAATTATAATTTAAATTAATATTATAATTTAAAAAACAATAGAACACACCAAGTTTTTTCTTGATTTGCATGGCAATAGTAATACATTGAAAGAACAACAATTAAAAAAAAAACACTAATTTGGTTGAAATTTAATGAACGTTTCATGTTAAGATTATAAATTTTATTTTGATAGATATTTTGTTTTTTAAATTAAAATAAAATATTTTAGTTTTGAAATGTTTTAACATACTATTTTGAGATTGTACCAACCATATATATATATTGAACAAATATAATTTAAATTTGAGATAAATTAATTATAAATTATACAATATAAATACAATGCCAAATAAATATAATTTTAAAATTTAAAATATTTCTAAATAATTAAGATTAACTAGATATTTAATTTAAAGTAATTTAATTTACATAAAAACATCAAAATATTTTAAATATAAAATTAGGTCAATGCCATCAAAACTAATAAGATCTAAAGTATTTATTGTTTTGCTCAAATTCCTACAAGTATAAACTTGAAAAAAACAACATGAATATAAACCATATATCTAAATCTAATTTTAAAAAATTAATATAATTGTTAATGAAAATATAATAATAATTTTCAATATTATTATTAATATTATTGTTATTGAAAATAGTAGTGCAAAAAAGCTTTTTATACTTGGATGGTTTAATTTGATTCAATAACTTTTCAAAATCAAAACAAAATATATAAAATAAAACCAGAATATTTTAGTCAAAATTTAGATAATAAATTTGAAACGGACGGAGATTTGAAATGAAATAAAAATTATTTTGTTTTTTAAATTAATATGAAATGTTTCGGGCTATTCTAAATAAAATAAAACAAAATTAATAATCTTATATCATATAAAAAAATAATATTTTTTTTTTTACTTAGATTGAGTTTATAACTCAGTAAAAGCATGTTGGTGTTGCTTTTTATTAACATTTAATTCATGGATTAATCTAATTACGTAGTAAACTTTATTTTGTTTCGGCTTATTTGTGAATTTTTGATTTGTGAACCAAATGAGAAAAAAAAGTATTAGATAAAATTTTCAAAAAGATTTTCATGATTTTTTTTTTAAAATGAAGTATTCGGAATTTAAATATTTTATAATCTAAAAATATTCTAAAAACATGAATTATCAGACACTTTTTTACAATCACAAAGGTCACAACTAGACCGAAGAGATCCTAACTCGCGAGATATTTTCTTAGGAGTCTGAACATCTTAATGTTTTCCCTGTCCTGTTTCTTTCCACTTCACATCCTGAAAGTGAGGGGGGAAATACTTCTATTTTGGGCTTCTGCGGCCATTTGACGGCCGTTGACCGTATGGACCGCCCTAGGACATTATTCATTTTGGTTCATGTATCAAAGTAATTAATACAAGACTTTTTAGGCTTGACTTATCATAATTTACATCTTTTCTCATTTAAAACCTTGGAATTTGAGAATCTTATGCCCTGCTATTCCTATTACAGCCTACCAATTCCGTAAATGGTATTGGAAAATCTATCAAAATATGAGGTCAGATTACTTTAAAGTATGATTGTTTTTTCAGGAAAATATAGTCTTAAGGTAAGTAAGTAACGATGGAATAAATTTTTTATTTATTTATATGAATATCTAGATTAATTTATAGATTAATTTATATGCATCATGACTAATCCTATATTTCATTAAATATTTTATAAGTACAGAACATATAGAGTGACGGACATAAATAATAAAATTCAAACCGAGTACAGATAAAAGAAAACAAATCCCTTTCAGTGGTGGGCTAATACGGGGAGGTAGCTGGAGGCATCAAACAAACACAGTACACATGAGTTCTAATAAGTAAAAAGGAATGCGTATATGGACCTCAAATTTGTAACTTTATTCTCTCTTGAAAAAAATGCTCATCCAGTCTGACCGCTTAGAAAGTTTACAAGATTTTAATTAGGCCATGAACCTTATTTTAATTAGAAAAAAATAAAAAAATAAAAAAATAATCATAAAATCCAAATCAAAAACCAAAATGATTTAAAAAGACAAAAACAAAAACAAAAACAGTCCAAACTAGAGCTAGAAAAAAGTTTTTGATATTTAAAGAATTGATAGTCAATGTGGTGTTGTAGGTGCTATTATCGGAAAACATAATCTAAAAATTTCTATAAAAATTAAAATATCATCAAACAGTTAAATAAAAAATTATAATTTTTTAAAATTATTTTTTTAATTTTTTTGAACTAAATTTTATCTTACTAGTTTTTAAATAGATATATTAGTCTATCCGTATAATTTATATGTGAAAAATACTCATCTAGTTATGATAAATTTATATTTAATTATTCATAATAACCATTTATCTCAACGCTGGGTAGATCAATACGACTCTCAAGAAAATTTATTTTCCTTCGAAATTTTTTTCTTCAGGTATATTGTAATGGTGAATGTTAGGGCATGGATTGTAGCCTTTCAGACTCGGTCAAAAAAAGAAGAAGTCAAAAGTCAATATGCTGGTCTCTGAACCTAAGTAAAGCCCACCAAATTCCATGGCGGTTACTGTTCAAGAGTTGAACTTGCACCCTTGCAAAGTAGGGAATGTATAAATCAAAGCCACTCTGCATGAAGGCTATCGCATTGCGGCATCAACTCATTCTAAAATGACATTTACAGGCCATAAAAGTTTTAGCGAGGGAAAGACTGGAATGCTTATGCTTAAAGTAAGCATACATTCGTATAATATGGTATGATGATAACAGCGCTGGCTGTAGAGATGCAGCACACAGCTCATGGAAACACAACACAAGTTACAGCCTTATTTAGGAACTGGTTTGTAGCTACCTTCTCTCCTTTTCTTCAGCCAGGAATGCACAGCAACAGCAACAGCAACAGCAATAGTCAAAGCCAGTCCAATGAAAACCACAATTGACCAAGCGTAATTTTTTACTTTAATGCTTTCATGCATCTGCAGGATTCAAGAAAACAATTAGAGGTTACATGTTCTTAACATTAAAAGCATTCTTTTTTTCTCGAGAATTCCTGCCCCAAATTGGATAATCCTGTTTAGTTACCCGACTGCTTTTATACTGAAAAAGAAATCACTAGCTGAAGATTGAACAAAAACTTACCTGAACACGAGCTTGCGAGAAAGTCACATTTGGTGCTTGTTCTGCTACGTAAATGTAGAAGAGCCCCATGACTCCTGTGTGCTTATTAGTGCTGTTGTAGTTAGATTCCAGAGTTAGATTCTCCCCAGCTGTTAACTTGACAGAACCTGGTTTGGGATAACAGGAGGACATTCCTACAATGTAACCATCCTCGTTTCCTGCTTCATTTCCATTTCCATAAATTGGTATCGAAGTGCATATTACGTTCCCATCCTGTATTCATCATATAAAAAGATCATTTGAGCCGGATGTTATTCAACTTGGTCAACGATGACATGAAGTTAGTAATAGATGTTGCAGTAATAAACAGATAACATTCCAAACTAGCCTCTGGAACAGTGAAATCAGACATAACAGACAAATTGAAGAAGGTTCCCTTATGCTGCTATGGGAAAGGATTATGCTTCTGGAAGTTACAGCGACAAACTTTGGCAGAAAACTGTAATTTCCGAACGTCATTACAAAGATAATAAGATGATAGTTTACTTCAATAGCATTTCTAAGGAACTTTCAATGGCCAACCAGATATGAAAGAGGGTAAAAAAGATGCAGAAAAAACGAGCACATGTAATCATAAATAGGCTGAAAATAACCTGTCCATACAGAGTTGAACCTATCCCACCAGCATGCTGGTGAGCAACAGCATAGATGACATAACCACCAGTTGGCATGGTGAGGCTATTTCTTTTGATGTCCATGCACCCATTAACAGCTGCATCGGTAGCAGTGCAAGACTCAACTGCATACTCAACCTGCACCAAAGATCTTCTAGTTATTTGCAGTACAGTGACATTCTTGGAAAAGAGAAGCCCCATTTGTTTCCTTATTTAAATTGATTCCAGAACTTGTGATTCCTGCAGGTCTACTTCACTGTTTAAGCTGTTACTGCAGGCATTAAATTAATCTAACCTTGGATGTATCTACCGCTGTGATTTATCATCAAGCATCAGCTGCCACTGCATTTCTTATGAGTTTTCTACAATGCAATTTGTTCGGTGGAAACGAATTCAATAGAACCTACCTAGTCAGTTGTGTGATCTGTAGAAAATTCAATAGAACAAGTCTATTTTGTTTTCTCCTACATTTTGAAAGAAGAGGTGGCAAATACAACATTCCCCCCCTTACAGTGCAAACATCTTGGTACTTAATAATAAGAGGCAAGAAAGAATGCATTTACCTGGCAACCATTCTTTGGACTGATTCCTGTTGATCCAAGGAGCCTTTTTCCAGTATCAGTAACATCTAACACAAAGATTTCAACAGGAATGGTGGAACTATCCCAATCAATCCATTTCACCGTATATCGCAGGTAGAGGCTCCTCTTGTCCCCCTGAAAACCCTGTCTGACTTTGCACTGTGTCTGATCATAGCAACAAAATAAACCTCCCTTATAGTCTGGCCTAATGGGGTCTCCATCTTCATCGTTTGTGACGTTATATAGATCGCACCAGCATTCAATGCACCCCAGCCTATCTTCCACACCCCTTGTTTCAATTGCATGGATACCAAGATACCACTTCTCCTGATACCCTTCAGGAATTTCGGCAGGATTGCCAATTTCTATTCCAAAAGGATCTGGAATATGTGAAGCTGTTTTTCGAGTTTCAGATCCAAGGCCAAAATACTGTCCAAGAATTTGACCCTGGCACAACCCACTATTTCGTGAAAAATTACGGCCTGATGGGCGATGCTCATAGTACTTTCCCACAAGCCAGTGGTGAATGTAAGTTTCATAAAGAGCTACAGGATTCCCAGCCTGATCAACTACCTCGGCATTAAAACTCTTGAGAGCGATATGACCTCTCGGGAAGTCAATATCATCGTATGTTTTGCTCTCAACTGATCCTGGCCCCAACATGAACTCAGGTGACAGGAAAGTTCTAGATTTGATCTTGTTTCCATTTTCCAGAGAAGCTTGTGTACAAGATACGCCAAAAGCCAGTATTGAAAGTACTAACAGAAGTACCATGTTGCCTGTAAGTCAATTTCAATGTCTCAGTTTAAAACCACATAATCTTGCACAAGGAATAGAGTCTACTAGTTTATTAACCGCGATTGAATGTATAAAAATAATATTTAAACTGTAGAAAACTTTTTAGCCTTCTATGAAACACCATATCTCTATTCAAACTTTTAAAAATCCTCATCCGACTAATTAATTATTTAGTATGAGTTTTAAATTTAATCTTGACGTGAATTTATTTATTGGATAGATTCATAGAAAAAAAATCAACACAATACTAAATGTTAAAATTCAATAAAAATTTTATATTAAAAGATGAAACTGAAAATAAAAAATCACAAAAAAAGTGTTAAAAAATGCAAAGGAATTAAAAAACTGATATTAAATAATGGAATCTAAAAAAAAAAGAAATTTTTTTTTATTATAAATGATGAAAAATAAAAAATAATTTATCATCAACCAAACACTAAAGGGTATAATTAAATAAAAATACTATATTAAATAATGAAATTAAAAAAAAGCTAAGAAAATCCTAAGAAAATAAAAACTTTATATTAAAAAATAAATAAAAAACTTAAAAGATAAAAAAACAAAAAACAAAACCCAAATGACCAGTCATGGACCTATAAGAAGAAACCTACGCACGTGGTCCATGCTCCTGGGCCCATATTTTTTTGCCAACACACCCCCTTTTTTTTTTTTTTTTTTTTTCTGAAAAAGATTACCTATCATAATCTGCAAGCGATTTTGCTTCCACGGAGAATCAAATCCTTAACCTCAACATGACTCCGACGCAGTAACTATGGAGCTCCAACATAAAGTTTTTAACCAAACAGAAAAAATATTAATCTGATTTACTATTTATATGGTCACCCACCCCTTCTTCTTCTTCTTTTTAAATCTATAGACAACAAGTCATTTGTTGTTTATGGAACACGAAGAATTTTGCTTCCATGGAGAATAAACCCACGACCTCCACGTGACTCACATGCGTTAACCTTTTAAGATATAACACAAGTTGTTAACCAAACAAATGAAAAAAATATATGAACAGTCAAAGAAACTCCACACCATTTAATTGTTTTAGTAATAATAAATCCATGTTGTAAATAGTTTCTTTTTCATCAGTTTTTGCTAATCACCAAACATGTGATTGGAGATTGAGTAATTTAACGAAGAAGGGTCTTGGATTATAATCAATTAGGAAAAAAACAATCAATCATAACCCCTCCTTTGTCATCCTGGAGATGCTTGTTCAAGATTTTTATTCCAGTCAGCAGCAGCCATGGATAACAAAATTAAACAGCAAAAAGTCTCCAGTTTCACTAATTTTAGGGCCAAGCAACGCGATCCAAACCTATACGAATATTGCAGTAAAATATAACAAATCTAAGCAGCTCTAGTTTATAAAATGGATACGGAACCAGCAGTCAGGAGAGGCTTACTTCAAGCACAAACAGACAGGCAAGACACACAAACACAACCACCTTAAGTAAGACTTCCATCAATCATCAGAACTTGAAAAACAGGAACATACCCGATGAATTCAATGGTCTCTGCCACTTCTCAAGCAGATGTATCATTGTGATGATCTTGAACAACTTGGGCTCTCTTCTGTTTAGAATTCAGATAGAGTTCATTTGAACAGAGTAAAGAGAGGGAAAGGTTTGGAAGAGTGCTGTGATGTCATTGACTGAGGCCATCCATTTAGTAATGAGGAATTCAACACGCAGTAAACCATGGCAATGAAATACTGTTCAGAGTTTGACCAATTGGATTCAGGCTACTGCCTAAGCCATGACGTCTAGTGCCACATGCTTTCTTTCTTTAGACCATTTTTATTTGTTTGCTCTTTTGACTGAGTCATCTCGATAAAGATTTCTTGAGTTCATAGAGAAATGACTTTGATTGAGTAGTTGACTTAGGGTTTCATGTCTCTTTTATTTTGAAAATTTATGAGTACAATCTCTCCTTTGATAGAGTAAAACATTTATGTTTAAATAATACACAAGTGAACTTGTCAATGAATTTTCCAATATCTTTTTAAAGACGAGATTTACCT